AAAAAAAAAAAAAAAAGTAGAACAAACAAAGAGGTCTAATGAGTCAAAAAGTGATTTGTGTGGCCCGTGGTGCCGATGGTGTTGAGAATGCCTTCAGTCGCCTTGATGAGACGCAAGTGCAGCTCCTATACGCAAAGTTTCCTGTAGGCACAGGGACTTTCATGCGTAATAAATTTATTTACGTGATATTCATTGGTCCCAATTGCAGTGTGGTGAAACGAGGAAAAGGTATTGCAGAGATTAATAATTTCAGAAATCAACTTCAAGGTGCCGCTGGTATTACCGTAACAGAGAAGTCATCCCTTTCTCTCCCTTCATTGATTCAACAAATGCGCAAGGTGTTCGTTACAGACACCGGCAATTTTTCTCTTGAAAAAATTCAGGAGGACTACAAACGTTCCATCGTTGAACAGGGGCGTAAAATGCATCGTGATGTTGTTGTTCGCCCTGTGGTGCCTGTATCACCGCAACCTGTACAAGAAGAAGAAGATGAAGAAGAAGAAACGGAATTGCCAAGTTTTACATCCCTACAGCTCAGCAATATTGTCTGCGAGATTCAGGATAACGAGCGACGTATTCTGGATGCCCTTCACGCGGATCTCGGTCCACTTAACTGGGCTACCTTTGAGGCAAATCCTCTTCGGCTCACACTTGCAGATGCCGGCAATGGTGGTATATTTGAACTTGTAAAGCGACTACCAGAGACAAAGTGGCTCTTTGGTCTTTTCCGTATTACACTTGGGCGACGGCAGGATCGAATGACACGTCTTATCTTCTTCCAGTGGATCGGTAATAAACTCCGATTAGTGCGTCAAGGGCCTACAACAAGAATCTTTCCAAAGATGGCCTCTATTTTGGCTCCATATCAGTATGAAATTTATCTTGTAGGTAAACAGGACTTAAAACCACAGGCAATTATTGATAAGTGTCGACATGCCTTTGAAGATAAACTTATGGCACCAAAACCTGGAGAAAACAAGAGTGAGAATTTAATTAATGCAAAGGCAGGATTACGTCATAATCCTTCTAATGGAAATTCAGGTACCACCATGTTTACTGAAAAAGAATACAATGAAATATTACAGGAGGAACGAAGCAAAATGGATCTTAACTTTGATTTTATTCGCCCAAAGAAGAAAAAGAAGAGTTGTGCAACTGATATTGTTCCAAAATCTAGCGATCAGAGTGTAATCTATAACACCGAGGAAACATTAAAGCTTATTAATCAGTCAGAGGGTGGTCTTATTTGGGGTATATTTCAGGTTCAGTAACGTGAGAAAAGGAGAAGTGTAGAAGAGTATCAAAAATTAATTCTGAAGTGTGGTGATAGGTGGGGACACGAATCCGTGCCCATGGCAAATTAATAAGATCAAAGCTCTTTTTTATTTTATTTTATTTTTTTTTGTTTGTTTGTTTTCCTCCCTCTTCTCCTTTGTTGGAGTATCTGTACCTGTACTTGTTGGTGTCTAGGTTTTTTTTTTTTTTTTTTTCTTTTTTTTTTTTTTTTTTTTTTTAATAAGGAATTGCTAAATTGGCATGTGGGTTCTTTCTAAGCTTGAAGATAACCTGTAGGAAAAATTGTGCTACCGTTGTTGTTTTGCGCTCACTCAATATTATATACTATCAAGTGAGATGACGATATGTGCGGAGTAATTGGTTTGTGCCCCCCCCCACTCCCCAAGCAATAAAATGGGGAAATATGTTACTATTGTGTATGTTTTAATCCTTTTTTTTTTTTTTTCTTCCACTTGATGGACGTGATGGGTTAATAGCTTGTTTCGCACTTGGACGCTGTTTGCTGCAGGAAGTTAGTGTTGGTGATGTGTTTGGTAAGCCTTTTTCTTTTTTTAAAGATTGTTATTATTTTCTCTGGAAGGCACTTACTTATTCACATAAACACAAACCCAAATCCAACAGCGTTTGTAGAAACGCTTTCACTGTATTTATTTGTTTTTTAGTGAATGTGTTAGTGTAGATAATGGTATTTTCCCTCTACATAGTCTAGGATATATAAGGAGCAAGAGAGTTGGGAAGCCATATGTCTTTTCCTTGTTTCTTTTTATCTACCTATTTCTCTTTCTGGTGGTCCCATTTATGTAATTTTTTGTTTTCTTTTGTTTATTTTGTTATCTAAATATATATTTATATATATTATTTTTGCGTTTCCCCTTTCTGATGCTGCCCTCAACCTTGCAGACGATTAGGGCAGTTTTTTTACGGCATGCCCCATCAATAACTTCCTCTATATATATATATATTTGAGTTGACAGTATTGTGTAGAAAAGTCATAAATAAGGACCGGATGGTTGAAGAGAAATAGACAAGGGAAAAAGGAAAAAAATGGAAAACCATTCATAGTCATATTTCCCCTTGTTTGATAAATAGTAAAGAGTAAGGAATGCGTACTGTCAGGAATAAAAAAAGAAAGAACAATATAAATATATATATATTTATTTATTTATATGTTCTGGGAGTAGTTTGCAATATAAGATTTTTTTTTTTTTACTGCAGTTGTACTTATCTGCTCCTATCATTTCATGGTGTCTAATTGGTGTGGTTGTAGTTATTTATTGTTTCTGATTTACCGCATACACCAGTCAAGAGGAACCACATACAATATCATTGTTATTATAACTCCGATCCTTGGTGTTCTCTATTACACGTTCTGTTGAAATTCCTTTTTTTTAGTGCTACTAATTGTATTTGTGGGATGAATGTCTATTGGAACTTTGATGTTTTTTTCCACATCACCTTCTGTCATCCTATTTCATTCTCTTTTTTTTTTTTTTTTATTTTCTTTTTTATTGGCTGTGGTATAAACACAGGTGAAAGAAAAAAAAAAAAAACAAGGGAAATATATACGGGGAAAAGTAGAAACAAAATCAACAGGGTTACTGTTGAAGGAAATAAAGCTAAGAGTAACCCTGGTGTTTAGTTGTTTTTCTTTTTTCTTTTATACTCTCTTACGTATATATATATATAGTCTTCTGTAGAAACAATAATAAGAAGAAAAGAAAAAAAAAAAAAAAAAAGAGTAGTAAACAAATGTTGCACACAGGATCTTCTGTTAGTCCATCTCGCACACTTCCCCTCACGGGAATGCAGCACATCACATCACCCTCTGTACCCTCAGTAGCTTTGGGTGATAAACACCTGCCTGAATTACCGTATAATCCAGTGATACGCTCTGAAAGTCGTCAAGGTTTTTCTTTAACGTTGCGTGATATTGGTCCATCTGCACGTCTTCTGTTGAAATCCCATGATAAACATGCGTTAACTTCAGGGGGAATGCATAAAACTCGAAGTGCTCATCTGAAGAGTGGAACTATAGCTGGGCAGTCGGTGGGGCCGAGAGCAGCAGCTACGAGTCCAGTAAAGAATTCCACTAACGTATCACCGGAGTCTTGTGCCACGGATGGAAAAAAATCTCCTTCTTCTATTTTACCAAATTCTCAGTATGTTGCCGTTTCTAAAGATGTATCGGAGAAGGCGATGAATTTAACAAAAAAACTAAATCAAACTTATGCAGGTAACAGAACTATGGGAAATACCACAATGGCTCGTACATTTGCAAAAACTATGCTTCCTCCATTAGCTACAGCACTTGAACATTATGTACAACGGGAATTAGGTATATTAGTAGATGAAAATGGTATTCTTACTGCTCAAGATCGTTTACCACCTTTTCGTGAAGCATTTTTTTCTTTTATTGATGCTTTTCCAGCTTATGGTAAAATATTAAATGATATTATGTCTGCATACGATGGTGTAATTCAAGAACAAGCAAAAATGTTAACAGAAATGATGTCAAAACAAGCGGAACGTCAACTTGTTGAGGAACAACACTGTATTGAAGTAGATGAATTAAATAGAACCATTGTCAAATTAACAGAAGAATTGGATGAGACTCGTGGTCAATTGGAAGAAAGAGAAATTATACTTCCTACAGATGATGATCCATCTGCTGCGTCAAGACCTCGAACTCAACGATCAGGAAGAGTTTTTATGGAAATGGAAAAAATGCTTCGAGAAGCTACACAAAAAATTACATTATTGGAAGAAACTAATAAAAGCGATTTGGAGAAACATCTTATTCTTATTGCCGCATTACGTGAAAGTGATAAACGATCAAAAGCTTTGGAATTACAGTTAGCTGCTGCTATTGCTAAAACTGAGGAATTGGATGATTTTAAAATAATGGCAGGTGAAGCACAAAAACAACTTGAAGAGTTTAAACAAAAGTACCAAAGTTACATATCTGTTAAAGATTATGAATTAATGAGAGAGTATTTAATGGGAGAATTACAAACATCACAAAATTTGGTAAAACAATATCGTCGATCTGCTGCTGTAAGAGGTACGCAAGTAGATGTTATTGGAAGAAAAATGAAAACTCTACAAGATGAAAAAGCTGAACTTCTTGAAGCTGTAGAAGATGAAAGGCGACAACTTCTTACTCCACGTCCTAATTGGAAAAAAATTCATTCACTTCTTCCTGATGTTGGTGAAAATGCAAGTCCAATTGAATCTTTACCTATTGATGGTGATGTAGTTAGTACTTCTACTTTACAAGGACCAATTGAGACAAGATTACAAGTGGAATATTTAGTGGAACGTATTAATTCACTTAATGAGGAATTAAAACGACGAACTATGGTTCCATTACCCGTAAAGATGCCAGAACTCCCACTTGTAGGAAGAGGAGTTGGTCCACTTGTACCTCGACATTTAAGAGCCAGTGGTATTATTCCTCGTGTACAATTAGACACAATGGAAGTTTTACAGATTGTTCATGACTTTTTCAACGATGTTTTACGACCACATCCTGATGCATTATTGTATACATTAGATGTTCCTTCTCTTTATCTAGGATTCCTTAAGGAACGAGTAGAAACAAAAGAAGAAATGAAACGTTTTGTTTGTGCTGAACACCTCGCTATTAATTTAGATGATACGGCCAAAGATAAAGAACGTTGTCGACCTTCATTGTTGTTATTAGATGGTATTCTCTCAGGAGTTTTTCCTGCTCGTATTGCGTGTGATGTAATAATTATTATAGAAAATGTTCGATCTGAATTAAAAGAACTCTCAGAAGCGCAAAAGAAAACTCGTATTCGACGAACTGCTGTAAGTGATTGTGTTTCACCTGTTCTTCAACTAAAAACTGCAGAAGAAGTCGCCCTCATTAAGGAAGCTCTGGGAGCTGATACAACACATGATGTAGTGGCATTAACATCTACTACGGGTAAATTTATATCTACTCTGTTGGATCAGGAGTGTGCATCTGGTATGAAGTTTTATGCAACCCTTGTAGAGAAACTTACTTCATATTCTCATTATCTTGAAGAAGAAGGTAGTGATCTTGTGATTAAATTAGATGATGTTGGACGGGCAATTACTGAAGTAGAGCCATTAACACCTAAACCTGTTCTCAAAGAAATTACGCAAAAATCTAGTGATAATTCCATGGGTGATGAAGAGCAAACAACTCGTCTTAGTGATGTAATTCATGCACTGGCAGCAGCCCCAGTAATTCGTCGCTCAGCCCAACAGAAAAGTGGACAAGGTAGTAGACTTTGAGAGAAGAAAAGAAAAAAAATTAATTATATAATAACACAACGCATGTATGCAGAGGAATACAATAATGTTCTTCTCTTTTACCATTTTATGATAAATGAGGAGCGGAATATGACTCTACAGAGATAAGGTGAACATGAAGGATGTGTTTATTATTATTTAGTTTATCTAGTTCTTCTGGCAAAGTAAGGTGGGTTGATATTGACCTTTGTTCGGCTCTTGACCGATTTTTTTTTCTTTTTTTTTCTCATATTGTTGATCAGTATCCGTTTATCAATTGTTTCCATTGTTTTTGTTTTTTTTTTTTTCTTTTGCTACAGTCTTCTTGTGTTCCCGATTTTTCTTTATTGCTTATATGTTTTTTTTTTTTTTTTTTACTGCAATAGCTTTGCGATTGGAACTATAGTTAATCAGAACAACAATGCACAATACTTGTTCCTTTGAAACCCTTTTGTTTTGTTTTTTTCGGTTTCTTAGAAATGTATAGTACTGTAATACGGGTGCAAAGGGAAATTTATGCAGGCATAATGTTCTCATTTTTTTTTCCCCTTTGCATTTGAAATGCTGTATGAACTAAATACAAATTCTCTCTCTCTCTCTCTCTATATATATATATATATATATATCGGGAAGATTTTTTTTTCTTTTTTTTTTACTACTTCTTATTTATTATTTTCGTTTTTACCTTTTATTTTTTTATTCCTCTTTTTCTTTTTTTTTTTCTTCGTATTTAACAGAATATCGTTTCTGGTTGAAAGAAAAAAAGAAAAGGTGTAACGACAGTCTACACAATGTGGGGTGTTCCTTGGCAGCATAGTCCACCCAACCACCACTACGGCGAACAGCCACAGATGGGCAGCGGATCGCAGTTCTACGGGTCCCCGCCACGACCGGGAAGTCTCGGCACGCCCAACTTTGGTCCACACAGTGGATTCCGCAGAAGTCCCTGTGGTTCCTTCGGATCACGCCGATCTACCAGACAATCAACTCCAGGCAGTTATTATGCAAATGAACTTCCAGTGGATAATCAGAATGTGATTTTGGTGGCGACAAGACCATTGCTGAAGGCATTAGCACGGGAATGTCGACCCAAACCTCCATGGTGTGTAGGAGTTCTGGTTCCAGAGGACATGACGGAAGAACTTAAATTGTTTTCCTCATTTCTTTCTGCTACACCGGATGAGCAGGCTTGCAGTGATACTGCAGTGCAAACAGCTACAGAAATAATGCGAGCCGTTTGGCCTTCAGTTGTATTAAAACCAATGTCAGTAACAGCTGCTGGAATTTCGCCTTTAAAGGATGTAACTCTACATTACTATGCCGAAGGATCACTAATGTCAAACGATGATATATTAAGTATTCAAGATAAAATTCAGGGTTTAGCTAATGACAGAGGGGCACAAGTGGAATTCGGTACAGATTACAGGGAAGTGACGTGTGTGGTACTAACCGACGCACGTACTGGAAGAAGACTTAATATTCGTTTTGGTCCTGATGCATCTCAAGCTGAAATATCCTCTAATTTATTTCGCAATACTCTAGCAACAAGTGAGGAATATCGTGCAACCCTTGTCGCACTTGATGCTCTACTTCGTCAAAACAAGATATTAGATGATACTGGTATAAAGAAAGATGCTATTAATGGTGAAGCTATCGCCACTATGCTTGTTGCTATTATTAATTCTTATGAAGCAGAAGACACTCCAAATGCAGGGAGACTTCTTATGGATTTTTTTCTTACATATGGTTTTTCAGCAAATTTTGATTTGGTTGAGAACTCTGTTACAGTAAAAGGAATGGCGGAGCCTACTCCCAAGGTACACCGCAATTCACAAATTAGTGTGCTTGATCCCTCTGATGAAACAAAAAATCTTACTTCAAAGCTTGAAAAAGCAGCGCACTTGCAAGCGGTCTTTAATTATTGCTATACAGTTCTTTCACAATCTCTCCAGATTGCAGAAAGACGTCGAAGGGCACAATCTCTTCTTTCAAATATAATTGGTGGGGAATCTTACTGGGGACGAGTATTACAAATGTACCATGAGGGAATACAACCCTTTCTGGATGTTGTTAATGAAAAAAAATACATTATTGCTCAGTCATAATAGTCCATTGATTGCGAAACGTTGATCTCTCTCAACCCCCATCAAGAAAAAAAAAGAAAAGAAATCCCATATATATATAT